CTCTAATTTTAAACAAAGTTGATTATAATACCATAGGAAATATACATGATATCTGTATTATAGAACCAGATGTCTGATTATTTCATGTCTGATGAAACTTTGTATTTTTTAAAGTGAATCCCCCTTTGTTCTGTCCTTGTTTCTCTCCTCTCTCCAGCAGCCACATGTGTTACCATCATGTCTTTATATTAATATGAACACAGTGATTATCAAAGAATTGTCTGTGGATGCTTGGTGATCCTTGAGACACTTCCAGGGAGTCTGTGAGGTCAAAACTGTTCTCAGTTTTGATTTTTTCACTGTGTTGACATTTGCAGTGATAGTACAAAAGCGATGGTAGATAAAACGGCTGACATCTTAGCACAAATCAAGATAGTACCACCAACTGCACTAGTAGACATTTTATTCTTCATCTGCATGTACTGGCAGAAAACAAAAAGAGTTTCACTTAGGAATCACCTTGATGAAGCAGCAGTATTATTAATTTTATTAAATCTTTATCCTTGGGTGTACATGTCTTTTTAACAGTCTGTGTGATGATATGGGGAGTACAAATAATGTCTTTCTGTTACATAGAAAAGTCCAAAAAAAAAAAAAGCACTTGTGTGGTTGAGTTTTGAACTGAACTAGCAGCTTTTTTTTCATGAACACCATTTTTATTTGATAGACAGACTCTGGTTATTCAAATTATTCAGACTTGGGTACTTAGCAGACATTCCCCTTTATGCCCAGAGATTTTCCTTTGGAGACAGCAATCTTAAGAGATTGTGTTTCCTTGACTGAGAATGATATTTCCTGTAAAATCTTAAACACAGGTAAAGCTCAGGGAGTTACAGGGATTTGCTGAAGGACACATACCATAAAGGAGCAGACATGGGCTTAGAAATCAGGCCCCCTTACTTCCAGCCTGCTACTCTTCCCATTTCACTAAATGAGACAGGTGGTTTTTCATATTTCATTCATCCTCTCCTTGAGACAGAATTAATGCTGCAAGAGAAAGAAATGCCAGGTGGAAAAACTGACAAGTCAGGTATTACACAGGCACTTAATTTTTATTTTGTAATTTTCACAATCTGAGCAACCAAGTAGAATACATAAAGAAGACACTAAAATGTGGCCTAATAAAATTCATTTGACCAGAAATACGGGCTTCCATGTTTTTGTCTCCCGCTCAGGTTTTTGTTTTCTTTTTTTTTTTTCATTTTTAATGTCAACTGTTCTCTGAGTCCAGTGCTCACTTCGGCAAAAACTACATTTAGTTGCAAATTGAGACACGGTGCATAGCTGCTATGATTAAGGAATTCAGAATCTTATCCAATATAAGGCCTTGAGGGCAGAAAGAAATGCTGAGGGAAAAACATTTCAATGTTGCCCTGTCTAGATGAGTGCCTGAAATAAATATTAACTGTTATTTCTGAAAACTTTCCCTCTGTTTTATATACTTCATTTCCCCCACTTTTGAGTCTACAGTGTATTTCAGCAACATTATGGGTTTCTACTTGTGATGAGTCTTCTCAGCGTGGGCTGGGTCAGTGTTTGTAGCTCAGCTGGCTGGTGCCAGAGTGGAGGGCACGTCTGATTTGATTCCACCCCAGGAACTGAAGGATTTTGAAGATTTTCCTCCTAATATTTGGTTTTACTTGATAATCCCAGAGCATGCTGGGAAATCTCAGCAAGAGGAAAAATTTAGTGACCACAGGGAGGCCTGCTTGCAGGGTTGTGGGTAAGTGTGAAAGCTTATGAGTATGACTGTTAATGATTTGTATGTTCTGCTTTTCACGAGATTTTCTCTCAACAAAAAGTGTGTAGGCTTGTGAGGACAGACAGCTTTTAGAAAACTCAGCTGTCCCCAGAAAGACAAATGCATGATTGAGTCATTTCCCAAGAGAGAAGCCACTAGTCAGCCAGGTATGTGGAGCCATGTGGTTCAGGATTTAGAATTTCAAAAGCAGGAGCTGGCAAAGGGTTGCATGGGATTTTAGCCTCACGTTTTCATCATCATTTTTCTTTCTTTTTTTTGAGTACTGAAATTGCCCTTGGCAAATGCAGAATAAGAGACATGCTATCTACCTCTAGTCAACGTTGGAGAAAGTGTTCAGTTCAGAAATAGACTTTGTAGCCGAGAAGGTGATCAAATCTCAGAGGCTTGAGGAGTTTTTCTGTGTGTGTGCAAACCAGTTTCTCATGTATCTTCTTTTCAATTCTGCTTTTCCCCTTTTTGTTGTTGTTTGTTTATATATAGTCACTAAGACTCTCTGTCTTGGAAATGTCTAACAATAGGCTAGATTTTTATTTGGTCTGGGTGCTCCAGATGTGAGCTGGCCCAGAGGAGGTGGTGGTGGAGATGGAGCCTTTGCACTGTGCTCTGGGAGTGGGCAGATTTCACTGATTGGGTTACAAGGCTCTGGAATATTCTGTACTTAGAACTAGCTTTTCCGAGCGTGCAGAGGCATGTGACAGTTGTTGATCTTGACATAGAGGGAATCTAACCAGAGGTGTCTGTGTACAGTATGTCCCAAAGTACAAGGAAGCTTGCCTCATGACCCTGTACCTATAGGGCTAACCTAACACGACAGCTAGGATGACTCTGGTCTTCTATATGCTGGAGACAACTTCACCTTCATTTAATTGAATACAGCTCACTTTATTAGGTTCCTACTAAGAAAAATGCATGAGATTTGAACGTAACTAATTCTTGTGACTTACTACCCTCACTTTATTTATTTATTTATTTAAAAAAATCTATTTGTTTATTTATTTATTTATTTATGGCTGTGTTGGGTCTTCGTTGCTGCGTGTGGGCTTTCTCTAGTTACGGCGATCGGGGTCTACTCTTCATTGCAGTGCGTGGGCTTCTCATTGCGGTGGCTTCTCTTGTTATGGAGCACAGGCTCTAGGTGTGCGGGCTTCAGTAGTTGGAGCACACAGGCTCTAGAGCACAGGCTCAGTAGTTGTGGCACATGGGCTTAGTTGCTCCGTGGCATGTGGAATCTTCCCAGACCAGGGCTCGAACCTGTGTCCCCTGCATTGGCAGGCGGATTCTCAACCCCTGCGCCACCAGAGAAGCCCTACCCTCACTTTAAATTGTAGGAAACAGAGGATTAGAGAGGATAAGTGGCTTATCCAAGTTCATACAACTGGCTCTTCTCACCACATGTCTTCATTGTGATAAGAGAGACAACTTTCCTTTCTGTGACAAAAATACAGTCTCCTGCTCTCATTAATGAGTCTATGATTTTTTTTTAAAGACTTCATTTTTCTAGATTGCTTTTAAATTCACAGAAAAATTGAGAAAAGGTTACAAAGGTTGCCCATATATTACCTGCCTCCCTGACCCCCACCCATTGTCAACATCCCTCTCCAGATTGGTATATTTGTTAAAGTCAATAAACCTACATTGACACATCATTATCACTCAAAGTCCATAGTTGACAGTAGGGTTCACTCTTGGTGTTGTACATTCTATGGGTTTGGACAAATGTATAATAATATGTGTCCATTATTATGGTATCATATATAGCATTTTCACTGCCCTAAAAATCCTCTGTAATCTGCCTGTTCATCTCTCCACACTGCCCTTCCTGCAACCCCTGGCAATGACTGATCTTTTTACTGTCTCCATAGTTTTGCCTTTGTCAGAATGCCATATAGTTGGAATCAAATGGTATATAGCCTTTTCAGATTGGCTACATCCACTTAGTAATATGCATTTAAGACTCCCCCATGCCTTTTAATGGCTTGATAGCTCATTTCTGTTTAGCACCAAAAAATATTCTACTGTCTGGATGTACCACAGTTTATTTACCAGTTTACCTACTGAAGAATATCTTGGTTGCTTCCAAGTTTTGGCAACTATGAATAAAGCTGCTATAAAAACCTAACTGCATTCCTCAAATTTTGCTATGTAGTGTTTTTATTATTGTTCTAAATTTTTAGAATGATTTCTCCATTCATCCATGAATTATTTAGAAGCATATTTTTAACTTTCTAAATACATGGGCTTTAAAAAAACCTTTCTATCATTGATTTCTAATTTAATATTATTAGATTAAATTAGAATTTAATGCAGAGAATGCAGATTATGATAGGAGTCTTCAGAATTTATTGAGGTTTTCCTTATATGGTCAGTTTTTATAGATAGTCCATGCATATTTCAATAGAATGTTTATTCTCTGTGTTCCGTAAATATGTATTAATATAGGGATTATTTGTTCTTCAAATATTCTATTACTCTTTCTTTGCTTTCTTGATCTCTAAATTGCTGAGAGTTGTGTTAAAATCTTTTACTATGATGGTTGATATGTCAGTTTCTCCTTTTCACTCTGTAACTTTTCGTTGTGCATATTTGAAGGTATTTTATTGTGTGCATACAGGTTTAGAATTTTTATATCTTTCTGGAAAATTAACTTTTATTAATACGTAAAAGCCCTCTTTATTAACAATGATTTTTACCATTTAAGCTTACTTTTTGTCTGATATTATTTTAATTATACCATATTTCTTTTGGTTAGTACATGCTTAATATGTAATTTTTCTATACTTTTAATCCTTTGTGGTTTTTTTTGCTTTAGATGTTCCTTTTGTAAATTTTGTTTTTTGATGTGACTATTTAAAAAAAATATGGTTTGACATTCTTTGTCTTTTTTGGACAGTTGAGTCTATTTACATATATTTGGATCTTCTTCTTCCACCTTCTTTTTAAATTTTGTTTGACCAGACTCCTTCTGTGCAGTAAGTAGGTTGATCTTTCCCCCCCTGAGGTAATGAAATTATCAAGGTGTTTATTGAGCACAGTTTAATACACATACACAGATACATACCCCTCTAAGAAGCAGGTTATTTTTACCTTCATTTTACATCCAAGGAAACTGAGCCAGAATGGTTAATTACCTGTCTCTAGGTCACAAAGCATTTGTGTGGCAAAGATTAGATTTGAACCAAGATCTTCTGGAATTGGAGTCCAAGTCTCTTATCTCTTCATGCTTCCATCTTGTCTTCAGGATAGAGTCATCTCCGGTGGAACTGAAGATAAGAAAGAAGATCAAAGGAAGAAGAGGACTTCAGGAAAAGCCAGTAAAGAGTGCTGAGGTCAGAACTTTTATTGTCTTTAAAAAAGGATTGATTAGAGTTTTGAAAGTAAACAACTTTTTGCTTTGTTCTTGTTTCTTTGATGGAATTTACTCATCAGAAAGTGATGATGTTTGCTACAATATAAGCAGCATTTAAACACATAGTCATTTTTTTATTAGTCATGGTATTTCACCCATGATGAAATGAAAGTTTCATAAACCCATAATTTGGAACAGAAATGGATGGTGATTTTGTCAGTTTTCTTGATAAGTAGAGAGATATGAAGAATATTATTGAACAAGCCTGACAATGAGAAGACCTAAGCCCATGTTCATTTCAGTGATTCACAAAAGAGATCAAAGTAAAATTTCTCTCTGTTTAAAGTATTCTGTTTTATTGTTTAAAAATTCACTTGGCAAGAATTTCTTGAGAATTTTTCTCAGGGTCACTGAAGCTAGTTTTGGTAATAAGTTTAGGATTTGAAGGCAAACAGTGATTCGGTTGAATGAAAATTTGATCATTAATTGTCTAAAAGTATGGAGATTGTGTGATTAAGGGGTAGGGAGGCAACTGCAACTATTTGGGGGGCACTGAAGACTCTATAAATGTAAACAGTCTGATTTTGTTTATGGATTCTATGAAATTTCAAGGTAATCATTTCTTCTGCCTTAGGTCACAGTAGCAGCTTTGTAGATCTAGTGCTATGTCCCCTTGTCTAAATTGTAACCCCTTTGTGGTGATGTGGAGCTTCTGATAAGAGCTCTAAGTAGCTTGAACATACAGTGAGAATCACATTGAAGCTGGCTTCAGAACCCTAGTTTTGTAGGTCTAGGTGACTAACATCTTTGATAAAGTAAGCTGAAAAATCCATTTTCAAATGAAATATACTTATTTTAAAAGTAAAATACCTCTTAAGTGAGCAGAATCTGCAGTTCTAGAGCTTTTTAAAAATTTTTATTATTTATTTAATTGAAGTCTAGTTGATTTACAATGTTGTGTTAGTTTCAGGTATACAACAAAATGATTCAGTTATACGTACATATATATCTATTTGTTCAGATTCTTTTCCCTTATAGGTTATTATAAAATATTGAGTATAGTTCCCTGTGCCATACAATAGGTCCTCATTGGTTATTTATTTTATATATAGTAGTGTGTATATTGCAGTTCTAGATCTTAAATGAAATTTGGGCATAAACAAAGGCTGAGTGTCACTTTGATTCACTGATAATCTGCGTTACCAAAACAGGAGGCTGATTGTTGATGTTCCTTTTCTTCAACTGTAGGATCACCTCTACTTTGTATTAGTGTGGGAAGAGTCTGTGAGATGTATCAATAGTTAAAAGATATTGCAGTAGGCTTTTAACTGTCTGCTCTCTTTTATTCTTGTTCTGTACAATTTTATACACATATTGCCATTGGAATAATTTTTTTAAGCTGGTTGAATCTTATGGATAAAGTGCTAACTCTATAGCTTGGACTAAAAGCTATATTCCCAGTCCAGTCCAATCCCAACCTGCATTCTGTTCTCAACTCCAATCCTCCGTCACCACCTCCACACACACACACACACACACACACACACACACACACACACACACGGAGTTCTAACCACTTGGTATTTGTTCTTACTTTCTTTGCACATGCTATTCACACTGCTTAAAATGCTCTTGACTCTCTCCTCTACCTCTATAATCTCAAGACCCTGATTAAATATCACTTCCTCTTTGAAGCCATACAAAACCTACTTCCTATAGTTGTTTCTTTCTCTGTGCTTTCAAAGCACATTATAAATTCATCATTTTATGGAATTTACCAATCATATTCTAGTAAGCCATAAACTATAAGATGTTGCAATACAGTGAAAGCCGCAAAGAGTAGCTGCATAAAGATTAACCTTCCTCTTCTAGTTTACTACCATGCTTTTGTCATTTCCCACCTTGCTCCTAATTAGTTCTGGGGTGGAAAAAGAATAAAATTGCTGCTGGTGGGACTTAGACTTACGTAAGTAATGGAGAAGATAAAGAGGACTAGTAGTAAGAAATGACAGCAAGGAGACAGGGAGATTCTGTGACCCTAAGGTGGTCTATATGGGCCTGCTGTTCTCAAGTAGCCATCTGTATCTAGGGGATGCACAGAAAACAGGCGTGTGTGAATCCAAGATTACCTGTATAAAAAGCATATTCTGCTTAAGTCTAAGAAAAACCAGGATTAGATTAAACACGTGAAAAAAAGAATAACCTTCTACAAGTGTTAACATTTCTGTAAAACTCAAGTTAATCATATATCCTATTTTAATGTAACAGAAACACGAGTAAATGTTTATGCTGAAGTAATGTAAAAAATAGTTCAGTTTTTACTTAAAATTTGGAAAAGCGTAATAATCTGCTAACCACAGTTTTAGAAAGATGAGCTATTCAAGGCTATAGACTAGTCTGGTAATAATAATAACGGTTGCCATTTACTCAGTGCCTATTAAGCACTGTGAGGAATGCCTCATAACTTATTTTATTTTGTATATTTTATTTTATTTAATGCATGCAAAGCTAGGTACAAGCATCCCCATTTTGTAGAACAGACAACTGATGCCCCAAGAGGTCAGATAACTTGCTCAGTGTCACCCAGTATGTGGAGAGAGTCTGAATTAGAATTCCTGTCTTTCTGCCTCCAAAGCACATGCTCTTTCTGTCATACCAGGTTGCCTCACAAACTAACTTCTGAGGACGAACATCTATGAAGAAGTAAAGAGCTTCTCAAAAATCAGATCTGCAAACTAATACCTACAACTCAACAGCAAATGAGTCTGCTAGTTAAGAGAAATGTATTTAAGAAATCAATTTGGTGTCCCTAAAAACATGCCTACAACATGCCACACAATGACTACAAAAACACTCAAAATAACTGATCAGATATAGTTATCTCTTGAAGGTTTTCCACCACTGTCTAGCCCAACATGAGGCCCTCTGACATTGGGCCAGGGGCACCACGTAAGAGTTGTGACCTACAACCCTATCTGTCCATGGCCTTGTTCCACACTTCAGTCTTCTCTATGCTTCTCTTAGCTTCCTGTTTTCTGACCCTGTGTCTGGTCACAGCATTCCATGCTGTCTTCTTTACTTTACTCTCTGCCTTACACAGCGTTCTATCCCTTCTGGGTACAGTCTTGGTGATTCCGTTGACATTGGCCTACCTCTAGGTTCACTATGCAGACTATGGCCTTAACAGATACTCCTGTCATGATGTTTGTCCAAGAGTAGTTTGAAGACCACTTCTGTCAAGATTATATTGGGAGGGAAGCTTGTGAAATATCTGAGTTGACTGAATCAGGACCTCTGGGGAGTGGTGCCCTGCAATCTGAACTTTAACAAGCTTTCCCTGTGATTTCTTTTGTGACCAGTGTTTTATAGGTACTGTTCTAGGTTTGATGTGATCCCTTGGCATCCCTATCCTTTCTGTCATCCTCTGCAATGACTCCCCTATATGTGAGGGCTCCCTGGCCTGACCTGACTCTGTGCCATGAGTGTGGTTAACTGTGGGTTGTTTATATTGCTTGGGCCTTTTAGAAAATCCTATCCTTAGAGTGACTGCCTGCCCTTTGCAATCACAAATGTAATTTTCCCTTTACTTCATTACATAACCTAAGTTTCCCCAAAGACTCATCTGTTTATGGGTACAAATAAAGCCACTTCATGTTTATAACCCAAATTTCACTGACTTATGCCCATACAGACATAATACAAGACCTTAATTTCCTGCAGAATTTTCCCTCGGTGTTTCTGGGAGGTTTTGGGATGGGCCTCCCAGGTGTCCTCAACGCTGCTTCTTTGCGCCGTGCTACTGGTTGATGTGTGTCACTTTTGGAGTCATTAGGCTATGCCTCTCCATGAATCCAAGGCTGGTGGCCTCCTGCAGGTGTTGATCTCCATGACCAGGACTAGATGCTCTCTCTCTGTACTTTCAGAGCTGCAAACCCTTGAGGAGCCGGGGGTGATGCTGTGTTCCCAGGCATCCTGACTGGGTTGGAGCCAGTCTGTGCTTGGTATAGAAGTGAGAGGATGCTGTTTGCTCTGACTCTGTGTTGTATTTTTTCCATCCAAGCAACACTATTACTCTCCTGGTTTTCCAAAGTCCTTCTCATTCAATTTCCATGTGCAGCCTCCTCTCTCCAACACCCCAAACACTAGTCTATATTTCCAGTCCGATCACTTCCTTGGATGCCCACAAATAAGCCGTATTCCCCAAAGAAAACCACTGTGAAAAATCTACTCCTTATAGACCTGTTCACCAGTTCATCGCAAATGCTCAGCCACATCTAATTCTCTGAACCTCATTTTAAACTTAGGTGGGGACTCTTCCCCTACCCAACACACATCTTAACATCTGTTAAGTTCCTGACTCCAATGATCTCAGTTTTAGAGCTACTACAGAGAGACCCTTGAGAAGAGGTTGAAACAAACTTCAGAACATAGGATAAGCTGTCAGAGTGAGAGAATGCAACAGTACAGATACTGGAAAATTATTTTTTGTTTCAAAGAGGACGTCTGATAAATTTAAGTTGTAGAATATGAAAGAAAAGAGAGAAGCAGAGAATGGAGCTGCATGCGGGATTCAGCATCTAAATGAAACACAGTCTCCCCTACTTTCCTCTTCCTTTACCACACAGGGCCAGCTGTCACCAAAAGCTGTTTCCAAACCAATTACAATTCCTTTACCAGAAAGGAGGATAAAATCTTAACAAAGGAACAGATGATTGGGTGCTATTGGTTCTTCTGACTCTGGAACTGCTTTAGAAAGGAAGTTGAATCTTTGCAGAATTATTATTATCAGTCATTCTTTATTGCTTCAGCTTTCTTTATTGCACTCTGACACACAAAGTAATGAAAACATATAATAAAGAGACTAAAACACGTAATGCATCACTATGCAGATATTGCAATCATAACAAATCCAATGTAAATGCCCTATAGGGAATACTTGAGCCTTCCAATACATTGCTAACAGTTTGCATGATACTACCTCACGTTATTTATCTACTAAACTTGTCATGCTTTGCTCTGCTAAATATCATGCCAGCATCAACCCCGAATAGCACTAGTACTCTTTTCCATTTTCCACATGGAAGCATATTTCTTTGCTGTCACTGGTTTTAATGTTTGCAAAGAGTAGCTCCAGCTCCTGAATAATTAATGCATAATGATTACTAAGCTACGGGTAGTTTACTATTCTAGCCCCTCTGGTCTTTGCAAAGTTGCTTGCTTTAATATGCACTTCGAATTAGAACCAAGAGGTAGTAAAAGTTATTAAGACGGCATGGAGCTCAGTCAATAATGATTTACAGAGTTTGGACGCATCCTGGGTTTTTCATTCATGGCTCTCAAGCCCCATCTGCTGCTTGTGTTCTTACTTGGTATCCTGTTTGCAAATGCTTCTCTGATGGAGGGTTTCTGTTCCGTTTACACTTAAAAGAATTGGCACTCAAGAGTTCAGGTCAAGTACACATTTCCTCTGTGGTGTTGCCAACACTGGGAGATCATTGGCAATGACTAAATACACTAGGAATATTTCTGCCAAATATATACATGTCAAGCAACTTCATGATCTCATATGGTATGGACACTTAGTAAATATTAAATAATGGTAATAAGAATTACAAGAGTGATTCATCCAAAGCACTGTAGAAGAGACTTTTTAAAAGCTAGCTGGGAGGGTTTTAAAGAGGAGCAAGAATGTTCTCATGGTGAGAGTGGGAGAGTACAAACCTTAAGACTGACACTGCTAGTTGCTGCTTGTAGTTTCTTCTCAAGGACATTCCTACAGAGTAACTCAGACTTTAGTGATTCCCATGCGCTGTAAGCTGTGTTGTCCCAAAGGACAGAGATGGTCATTTCAGGGGCCTTGCCTGTGAGCTGGAATGATCAAATGTGCCAGGGATATCTAAGGAGAAGATGTGAGTGACTATGGCAGGGCAAATTCCCCTTGGGTGGGCATTAGAATGAGAACTAGTTGCCTTTAGAAAGTCAGTGACTCAAATTTTATTCTCCCTGGTACCTGGTCTGGGGCTGAACATATAATATACAATAGAAAATTGGTCAAGATATTTGTGGGATGGTGGTAAATAGAAGAATATATTGTAAACACCATTCCACACTAACCAAATTGAGGTTTCAGTTATATATATATATATATATATATATATATATATATATATGTATAAATATAAATATAAATATCTCTCTATCAATCGATCAATAGATATCTTGGTTGCTCAACGTTTTCCTCCCATGGAATATTATGCCATTTACCTTTTTTTTGGAGTCCCTCAAATATCTCCATTAAATACAATTTTTTAAAAACATTTTAGAAGTAAATATATAAATGCTTTGAGTCTGTTTTTGTAGATTGAAAAAAGTAGCCGAGTTTGCTTATGGCAGGAGATGTTAATTCTTTGAGATGGTTCAGAAAAGATCTTTGACTAAGTGAACGCTGGTGACCTCCATGTTAGCATAAGCCTAAAAGTCAAACTTGCTATTTCGTCCTCCCCCAGCAGACCAAGCCTTACGTACTGTAGTTGGTGCTTTGCCCTTTCCAGCTCTTAGATTGCTGCTAGGCCTGGCACTGGGTTAAATGGAAGGGACCCTTGTCGTTGGTGGAGTAAATGGAAGGGAGGCTAAAGGTGTGCATTGCTCCATGCCTGCGATTGGTTTGCTAATGAATCATTTGTCAAAGAGGAATGAGGGAGAAGAGAAATAGCTGCAAAATGACCCGAGAAGCCCCACAATACGTTGTATGATTAAATAATGGACCGAGTATCACAATCTCTGAGTACTTTAGAGAAATAGAAGTCATTGACCACAAGTCAGTATCACATTCTGTGACAGATTCCCCACAGAGGACTCCCACTGAGTCAGGTTCTTCCACAGTTTATGGTGTGCAGGGAGTCCATTGGACGTATTCTTAGTTTAATGGATTGGTTGCTGATTGCCATAATGGAGGGAGTAGGGGTGAGAGGAGTCAGGGAGTTTCAGGGGAGACCACAAAAATACTTCGGTTCAGTCCTCGGGGCTCTCCTTACCCCATTGCCCTCTCCCTCCAGGTGTCAGGGCCCTATCTTCCTTTCCAGATGTTTATGGTTACTTGTGTGAGTGACCCAAGCCATCGAAGGGGAGGGGAGGTGACTGCCCACATGAAATGGGTTTAAGGGAATGGAGAAGCGAGTTTAACTCCTGCTTGTCAGTCAGCCAGTGGGGAGCACCCAGACTGTTGTGGCCTGAGTGCTGTCGCTGCCGTCATGAAGCTCCCAGGGGCAAAGCTGTGCAGCCTCTCAATGGCCCTCCATTCCCACCCATGAAATCTCGCCTCACTCCTTCCCAGCCATGAAATTTTCTGGACTGAATGACATAGCGGACCGAAAATCCTCTATTTTTCCTAATTTGTACCATCTGGTACCTGCATTTCAACTTGTCAAACAGGAGAAAAATATTTGACTCCATTCTCCTCTCTCCTCTGCTTTAATACTCCTAAGGTGATTCATAATGCCTTGCTTGAGTCAGGAGAGACACCCTGTGGAACCTTTGAAGAAATTCTGGGGAGGGGGAGGGTTGATGTGGGAAGGGGATTGAACACAGTTAAAACTTTAAAAATATCCTGCCGTATTTATTATTAGATATGCAGATAACCTCCTAAAGTGTGTGTGACCTTGGGTAAATAATTTACCCTCCTCTCTGTACCTTCATGTTTTCATTTATAATGGGTATAACAATTGCATCTAATTCCTAAGGTTGTCAGTATATACTTCAATATCGTACTGGGCATGTCACATAAAGATATGCTCCATGTGAAGGAGTCAGCCACCCTTTCCACTTTGGAAGGCTGGAAAGCTACTATCATGTCCCAAAGCTCCTAGTCATAGTCTGGGATTGGGTCACGTTCCGAGCATCCCTGGCATGAGATACAGGGAAACAGGTTTGGGCTTTAAAGTCAGAGAACCTCGATTTGAATCCTGGCTGAACCTCTTATTTGACTCTAAGCCAATTATGCAATGTGTTAGTTTCCTGTGCTATAACAAATTACCATAAGCTCTGTGGCTGAAAACAACAGAGGTTTATTCTTCTACAGTTCTGTGGGCTAGAAGTCCAAAATCAGTTCTACTGTCTCCAAATCAAGGTGTCACCAGGGCTGCACTTCCCTGGGAGCTCTAGGGAATTCGGTTCCTTGCCTCTTCTGCTTCCGGCGGCTGCTGGTATTTCTTGGTTTGTGGCTACATCACTCCAATTTCTGCCTCTGTAGTCACATTGCTTCCTCGTGTGTGTGTGTGTGTGTGTGTGTGTGTGTGTGTGTGTGTGTGAAATCTCCCTCTGCTTCCTTCTTATGAGGACCCTTGTGATTACATTTAGGGGCCACTGGATAATCTCTTTATCTCAAAATCCTTAATTTAGTGGTATCTGCAAAGATCCTTTTTCCTTATAAGGTAATGTTTATAGATTCCAGGGATTAGGAATTAATATCTTTGGAAGGTTATTATTCTGCCTACTACTCCGGACTTCTCTTAGTCCGTTATTTCACTTGTAAAATGGGAATAATAGTACCAAATTCACAGGTTACTGTGAGGATTAATTCAATGTGTTATACAATAGGTAGTAAGAAAGATCTTCAAAATTCCATTTAGACCAGTATAGCTGCAGTGTGCACCCTGCTGTCCTGTGGCAAGATACAGCATGCAGCCTCTGTTTTCTGAAATGAGGTTAGGATAGTCGGAAGTGGAAAATCATAAGTCATTAGTTTTTGTTCAGGTCAAACATTACAGGCCTACTCTTTGCTGGACACTCTTCTGAGGACTGAAATTACAAGGATAAAGCCCGGATCTTGAGGAATTCCATTCCTGATCTATTCTCTTTGGGGTGCACAGGCATATGCAGCGTGAATCCTCTGCATTAGGTGTCCTGCTGGGATGAGCCGAGAGCGCTGTGATACAGAGTGGCCGTGGAGTTGGCCAGGGAGGACTTCGCATCTGCATGGGTGGTGACGTTGGGAAAACTCAATTTGCCTGTGGATCCGGCCCTTCTCAGTTTCTTCGTAGTTACAAGTTAAACAGGTCATTTCTATGCCCTGTGTCTCCTGAATTTTGGAGTGGAGTAGATGATGATGCTGTGGAATGAGAATAAAAATGTGAATACAAACATGGATTTCACTGCTTGATACTTCTTGATTCTTCTCCAAAGCTTGCAGGTCACAGAGAGTTGTATCAGGAAGATGCTTTTCAATTTAGCACAGAGCCCAGGAGGGCTCTTAGTCCTTTTCTCCCCCTTCCCAGTTTAAGCATGACTGAATCTTTAATAATCAAACCGAATAAATGATGAAATGCCCAGTGACAGCTTGTGGGTTTGATGGAGCTGTCCCTGGAAATAGATTTGTAATTCTGTCGTGTCGATGGAAAAGAAGACGTTGATCAGTATGTTCCCAGTTCATTATCATGTTCATGAGGGCTGCTGCCTCATGATTTCCTGTCAGATCCCTTGTTCAGTCTGCAATGGAGGTAGACCTGGGAATGTGTCATTCTCATCTATTGTGAATAAATGTTGTTTTCTCCCAAATTGTTTCAGACCTCTAAGTTATTATATGAGAGCTAACAATTATAGTTCCAGTTTTAGAGAAGCTGATAAATTATGGGGATCCTATTTGGAGAGACAGGGCATATTTATCAAAAGATACCAATCCCCAGTAGCATATTCCAAAGCAGCAAATGAGTGGCTCAAACAAGGAGTTTTGGAAGAGGGTGGTGTTTGGGGAAGACTCCACTGAAGAGGTGGGTCCAGAGCTGAGCTTGCGCATGTTGGCAGTTAGGAGGAACTTGGAAAGGGCTTCCCAGGGACACAGAAAGAGTGGAACTAGTGAGGGACAGAGGCAGGAATGTGCTAATGTGCCTTTAGGACAAGATTTGTATCCATGTGGATAAAGTAGTATGATTAGAGCCATATGATTGTAAAATAAAAGTCTTAATAGGGAGGTTCAGTCCAGATTCACTCATCCAACATTCATTTATTCATTCATCAGCTACTTATTGAGAGTATACTGTGTACTAGCCTTGACCCCGAAGTAATGTATTTTTGTATGTTGCAGTATTGGTAATGAGAAACTAAGAAGATTTTTGAGCATTGGAGAAAAGTAAAATCATGGAGTAAACTAAAAATGATGATCTGAGAAGATTCATTGAGCTGCCTTGTATAGAATGGATTAGAATGGGAGATACTGAAAATAGAGAGATGAGTTAGGGAACCATTGCAGGTGAAAGACTTTGATCAGCAAGGCAGCAGAAGGAATGAATACAAGAGATGTTATCGGGGGAAAGTGTTTCCATAACACTTTGTAGAATGTGTTGTTTGCTTACATGTCTATCTCCCCACTAGACTGTGAGCACCTCAAAGACAAAGGCCATTTACTCTTGTGTCTCTACAACCCCAAGGAATGTTCCTGGCACACAGTAAGTTCTCAAAAAACATTTGTTGACTTTCTGATGACTAAAAATGGATTGAATGTGAGAAATGAGAGAAAAGAAGAGTCAGAAAAGACTCAAGTTCTTTGAACAAGAGAGGGTTATTCATTATCAACAGGAAAGAAGATGGTCACAGCAGAGCTGCTACTTCAAGAAGATGTTCTGCTCTCATTGATCAGGCATTTGTGATGTTGAGGTGAAAATGAGACATTAAGACTGATTTACGTTTCTAGGTTACAATTTAGGAAGAGAAACAAAGGGGCATGGCATCTAAGAGAGTGATTCAGAATCTTGGAGAGGAGGGAGACAGTGAGTATAGTTTGAAAAACCTATTCTTTACTCTCACACAAATCTGATTTTATACTTGGGAAAAATACAAATCATAGAAAGGGACTTAAATATTTGCTTATCAACAGGGGAATGAATTTTAAAAGATTAATATACTTTGATAAAAAGTCTAACCAGAGATCTTTTCTAACACCCTTAAAACCATACCTTATAGATCTGGACAATTGTCTCAGAAGGCAGGCTCAGTGGGCAGGCAAAGAAGGAATCCTTCATCCCATTTTTAAAGTCTTATATACCAGAAACTCGGAATAAATTTGTGCCCATTGTAAATAATTCAATCACACAATTCAAACAGTGCAGAAATGTTTGCCTCGGAGAGCAGGAAGTTAAAGTCCCCTTCACAGACATCCATATCATTTTCATTATAGGCAACCATTGATAGGAGTCTGGTTTGATTTCTTTCATATATTTTAATCTATGTACATATAACACATACAGGGATTTTTAAAAAACACATAAGTGAGATCATACTATACATATTTGTTTGGGGGTACCTTTTTTTCTTTAACATCTATGATCTTGCCATGTCCATATATGTAAATCAGCCTCATGCTTTTAATGGTTGCATGGTATTCCATTGTAGTAATAAGAGTCAACATTATTTAACTATTTGTTGTATGTCAAGAACTGTGCTAAGCATTTAATACGATTATCTCATTAATACTTATGCCAATCCTAAGGGATGGGTACTTTTATAATCCCCATTTTGGTGATGAGAAAACTGAGGCACTAAGAGATTAGGTAAGTTTCCCAATAACACAAAGATAGCAAGTGTCAGAGACAAAATTTTATTCCAGGTAACCTGACTTTAGAGTCCTTATTCTATACTGCCCTCCTATGGATCTACTATAATTTATTTTTTTTTAAAAATCACCATTAATGGACTCTTACTATGTTTTCAGTTCTTCAATTCATTCATTTATTTATTGAGCAAGTATGCCTACCATCTACCACACACTGTTCTAGGTACTGGGGATTCAACAGTGAACAAACTAGGCAAAAATTCCTGCCTTTATGGAGTCTACTGGTGAAGATAGACAAGATAAATAAGTAACGTATGTAATATTATAGATAAATAAAAAAGATAGCAGTGAAAAGAGATAGGACCTGTTGGGGGTTGAGAATTTTAGATAGTGTTCAGATGAGGCCTTTTTGAGAAAGTAACATTGGAGCAAACCCCTGAAGGAGGCAGAAGCACCAGCTTTGTCAATATCTGGGAGAATGCTATTGCTCAGCTAACTCTCCTAGATACTTGTAGATATTGAATTTTCAAATGTCTCCTCCGTAGTAATTGCAGAGATCAGAGAATTATTGCTTTGTGGTTCTGGTTACTCCTCAGGAGATGTAGCTGAATTATAAATATCAGAGAGCAATAGAAGAAGGAGCCAAGTTGTTTTGCTTTTACATCAAGCCACTCTGGGAGGGATGTCTTCACTCCTAGGTCCTATGGTGACACCACTTTGACAAATATATTCTCTCCACCAACCATTTCTTTCTGACTCTTGGGAGCCTGGATGGTTATCTGTTTTGACAGAGATGATGTTTGCCAAAAATCTTTCTGAAATAGAAGAGTCATTTCTAGGTATGATTTAAAAATTTTAAATGGAGGTGGAGGAAAGAGCTCTGTGTTGGATGGCCACTGGGAGGAAGTCAAAAATTTTTTTTTTCATTTTTGTACTCTTTAAAAAGCCTGGGCTGCTTTTTTTTTTTTTTTTTTTTTTTTT